GGATAATGAAGCAGGCTGTGGTTTCCTCTCCCAAATTACCCAGAGTGGAAATGCAAATTTCCTGTGCATGCTCTAAGTAGCAGGTGGTATTTCCTTAATATATTGTTTGTGACCTTTGGGGAAATAGGTATTATAAGCTGACTTTGGAAAATGAAAATAGCATCAAGGTTCTATACTTTAAATGAAATAATCACTATTTTAACTTTTCAAAAACTTAAATTGGAATACTACCCCAGGAAAAGACATACATGTATCATTTCTCTATATGAGTTCCAGTTCTGTGATTCAGGGAAGATAAAAAAAAAAGAGGATATTGCACAGAAGAGTTTTCTAATTAATTAAGGAAAAGAAGGAAATGTATTTTTTAAGTTTTACTTTAAATGTTTGCTGTTAATTAAAGCAAAGATTTAGATACAGTAAGTTATACCAAGACTCAACATGGGCTGTTCCAGGAAAATCCAAGCTGATCTGAGGTAAAGACAATTGTATTTTTCATTCATTTATTCAACAATAAATTTCAAGCTTATTTTTTTGTTCAACATCAAAGAAATGGTTGTTTAAAGTTATTGGATTTTTAACCATACATTTTATAGAAGAGATTCAAATCCCTGTGTGTGTCTCTGTGTGTGTGTGTGTGTGTGTGTATAGTTTTTTTGACCATAGCTCTTCTGCATGCCATCTTATTAAATAGGAAAAGCATAGTTTTGTCTTTTTGCTTCCTTTGAAGAAAAAAGTTCAACAGTTTAAATACCATTCATGTCTTGGAATTTCCTTCTTCCTGAGTCAAGCAGTCCAGTGTTGAAAACTTTAAATTTAGATTCTTCCTCCTATAAATATCTTTTATAGGATTATAACTCTTCTGCTTATCAAGGGCTACAGGAATGGAAGCCAGGAGCTTACTAAGTTTATAGTATATGTTATATATAAGGGAGTATATAAATATATTTTTAAAAATAAGTGACAATTCTTATAGTGGTTTTTAGCTTACAGGTGGCTGATTAAACATCTACTTTCTTTACCTCTGTTAAAATTCTGAATTTTGGACCTGTTACTTGATAAATATATGTAGAGATGTAGAGATCACCATCCAGCAATGCTGCTCTGTCCCTCCCTGAAAACTATTCCTTTTTTTTTGCGGGGGGGGAGTCCAGTCATGGGGCCTGAACTCTGGGCCTGGGCCCTGTCCCTCAGCTCTTCAGCTCAAGGTTAGCGCTCTACCACTTGAGCCACAGTGTCACTTCCGGCTTTTTTCTTTTTGCTTATGTGGTGCTGAGGAATCGAACCCAGGACCTCTGGCTTGCAAGGCAAGCAAGCCACCTTCCCAGCCCCTGAAAACTATTCCTATAAGAGTGTTTTTCTTTGGTCGTGAAATACTTTCTGATGATATTGGAGGAAAGCTGTGCAGTGGCAGGACTTCCTGGGCATTGAGACAAGGCTACTGCCTGAAAAACTCATGTTCAAATCAAAACCTAGAACATCTCTAGGGTTTCCACTCATACTAGAAAATAATTACTGTGATAATTTCTGCCATGAAGGTGTCCTCGCCTGATTATTCAAAGCTTCCATGATGTCTGCATCTCAGCACACATCATAGACACCAGTATGTCATTTGTTTGGTTGATTTTTATCTAACACATTAAATTTCTTTTTGGGCTATAACAGAGGGACATTCCTCATTACTTCAATAATTTGGGTTGGGAATACTTAGAGGGTGAATGAATTTCATTCCTACCAATCCTTTCTCATCATTACATTGCTCTCCAGCATCATCTGGAAGGAAAGTGTGGAATTTACTGGGCCCATGATTAAATGTTTTTATCATCTATTACCAACTGCATGGGGAACCTTGAAACACAGCAATCCCTCATGAACATGGTATCTTCCTGGACCTGGAAATACATAGGAAAGACTTTTACAAAACTCTATGCAAGCTTTTCTTTATTGTCAAACCAAATACACCTAAAAAGTCACACATGAGGCTAAAAAGATATTAAGTCTCCATATTTCTCCTTTAAGCATGAATGTCATTGGAAAGCAACCCTTTAATTTACTCTGTCTAAACAGTTTCTATAATGTCTGCAAAACAGATTGAGTTTCTCGTGAAATCCATCTAATAATATTTCATATGATCCATACAGTGAATCAGAGGTAATTCATACTAGGAGATAAAAAGATTAAAATATACACAAATGATGCCCTACTTCTGTACTAGCTATACATAGGTAAATCCGTTGTCCTGAAATGATTGCTCACTGAAGGAATATATATATAGAGAGAGAGAGAGAAAGAAACATAAACACTGGGAAATATCCATCTAAATGCCTTTATATTTTTAAATGTTGGCTTGTACATTGCAGGCAGTAAGTAAAAATCAAGGATTTTTTTATTGCTAAATTTTTATTTTCCATTGCTAAGCAAAGTTAACCTGTCCTTAATCTGTTTCAACTCATGGGCATGATTTATCAATGAAACAATAAAGCCTAGAAATCAATATGAACATATAACTTTGAATTCCTCACTACATATATATGTATGTATGTATGTATGTATGTATATATATATATATATTCACTGTGTCCTTTCTGAGAGAAGAGAATTTCCCACATCTTAAAAAGAGCTACCTAGAGAGAATATGATCTAGGTGTTTTAATTCTGATTTCGATGAATACATTCTGAGCCATTACTCCACACAGTTTGAGTAAAGGAAACTTTATACAGCTTTTCAACAGGGTGCCTTCTAACCATTGATAAAAACTGAGTGGTCATTACCTAGTAATGACCATGTTGTTTAATAATAACATGTGTGTGTTCTTATGCTGTGATCGTTTTTGCTTTTCATTAGACTATTGGAATTCTTGCTGGAGAATGGTTCCCTTTATTCTCTGGACCACTTGTGGCATTTATGTTCCTGTGATTTTACTATCCAATATGTTTGGGCTGAAACCAGAGAATGCAAAATTTGCCATTGTTAGGGGCCTTGGCCTCTGTTTTCCACAAATCATGCTTCACCGAGCCTCTATGTTCTCTGTAAAAGCCACTGGAGCATCCACAGATGTCATGTGTTAGCGCTGAGCAGGACTGAGAAGCTTTTGTTCTGCGGCTTACCTTCCTTTATGTGAACCAAGGTTCTGAAGTTGAATGCGATCTCATAGAGGCTGAGGAACTGAAAATGTAAAGACTTAACCAAGTGCCTGACATTTTTTCAGGTTGTTTGCTTGTTCATTTTGTCATCTCTTCTAAAGGACCCTGAGTGAGTATGACTCTCTAAAGGTGTTAGGAAACTCAGACCCAGCCACCTCTGAGCCGTAAAGCAAGTGTCACCTACAAGACTTAGAGGAATCTTGAGAGCAGGGAAGTGGGGGGGAGCAGGGAGGAGTTCTCTGGTCAGTGGTCAGAACAGAAAGTGAGAACAGCCAGGAGTTCTAGCAGTCCTGGTTGCTTATCTAGACAGAGCATCCAAACCTATCTCTTCTTTGTTCTGTCCTTGTCACCACAGCACTTATAAGTGCTGGCTTTATTACTTCCCAGAAGGAGAGCATTGTTGTAATATATGGCTTGGAATCCTCAAGATATACCAGAGCTGCTGAATCTTGGGGGGAAATATGACAAGTTGATGACTCAAAATATTCAAGTATTCCCATATGCCCTCTGCATTCTATTTGATGTTAAATTATAGGCTGAAAAAATGGCTTAATTTTAAGGTTCCACAGAGACAGAGAATGTTACCGGTTATTACAACCACTTTAAGTAGGAAGCAATAAGTTAGAAGGCTGCTTATTATTGTTCAACAATAGTCTGTCAGTTATCTTAACATAAAGTAGATGCTGAAAGTTTGAGACGATGACACAACTGAAAGAAATTTTAGTGTGTTACATATGATTGGGTACCTGCTTTAATTTGGGTCCTTTCCCTTCCTTTTCCCTTCCTTTTTCTTTCCACCTCCCTTTCCTTTTACCCTTTCTCTTTTCCCTTTCCTCTTGCCCTATATGTGAGGCACACATGTAGGCATTATAGTGTAAAAATAAACCCCTGATGTCTTAAAGAACAGTATATCCCTTGACTTTTAAGAGCCTAAGCATATGAGTCTGCATGCAACATGTAATGTTGAACACAAAAGAAAAAATTTGCTTATTTTATCTTTTATTTCATTTTATTTTATAACTTGCCAAAATTATCTTTAGAAAAAAGATAATATTTGTATAAAATATTTTTTCTTTTAGATCCAACAATGTAATTAATCAGGAGCCATTAATCAAATTTAATAAAATATAAGTTTCTTTCAAAAGAAGTTCCTTTTAAGGGCACATGTTAAAGCTTGGCTTTCTTTGCCAGTAGCCTCTGGGGTATTTGAGGTAAGAGAACAAGGGGAGCACTTGAGGCTGAAGTGCTTTGTAAGGCCATAGCTGAGTGCCATAGGCACCACATTCTTGGTGCAGCATCATGTTACAGTAATATTATGAGAAAAACTTCTTCATACATATAGCTTTAATGTTCATATAGCTGGGTCCATTCACAAATGGGAGCTGTAGATCACATGCCAGCCACTATTATGAAGTTGTTTTACTTTTACCATTAAGTAATGGCTCCTTGTGAATATGATGAATGCATGTGTTCTTTGCTCTCTCTGTAAATCTTTTGTTCCAGTCATTTTTTTCCTTTTCCCTTAAGAATGTGGGGGGAGGACATCTCTACTCACAAATCAAATGCTTTAAATAGCCAAGCAAGAGCTGAATGAGGGAAATCAGGCAAGATAACATCTCTATGAAATGTATGCCTATGAACTCCGTCTCACACAATACAAAGGAAATTACCATTGTCCCGTGCAAGGTGAGCACAACACATAAAACACCTCATTGTGGTGGCCATATATATTCTTGTACAGCTGAAACCAGAATCCTGAAGGCCACACACACACAAAAATGGCCAGGCTTAAGTGACACATTGGCAAATCAGAGTATGTGGATTTTATCTTCATAATGTCCTTTAATCATTTCCCAAAGGGCTACCACCACAAATCAGGCCATCCACACCAGGGATGGCACCTCCACTGTCACTTCTATTGCTACAGCTGTCACCAAGGCCACCTTCCTAGTGCTCCCTAATAGTGTTCGTTCAGTTCTTATGGCTAGCAGTTGTGTGGTGGACTGTAGTAGTGTGCACCTTATTTGATCGCAAACCAACCCAATGAGGCTCCCATATTATACACATTAAGACACTGAAGCTTAAGTTGTCACCAAATCACACAGCTTGCTCACAGCTGGCCCCAATCTGGATCTCAGAGCTCTTTCTGGCTCCAAAATGCTCTTCCTTACCATTCTCAAGCTTCTTTTCCATGTCTATGAAGGGAATGGAATTCAAGTACCAAGACGCTACTTCTAGTCTTTACAAAGTAAATTGAGCTCCTTAGGGAAAATTCTTTTACCTGGAGCCAAAAATCTGCCTTTGTAATACCCTCTCCACCCCACTCCCACCCCAACCCCAAAGTAACTTCTGTCTCTTGGAACAGAAACTACAGTCAAACAGAGCACCTTGCAAATATCCTTCCTTTATTAAAAAAAATTACAAATTAAAAAATATGCTACCACCACCAACAGTCACTCCCAAGATTAGAGATACCTACACATATCTGGCAAGAAGCCCAGACATACCAAAACATGTATTATCTAGAGCCAAGGACTTGAATACCACTGCATCTGTATAGACAAGTGTTTCCATAGGCAACTTGTTCATACATTTAGGATCCTCCCCTGCCCAACTGACAGGGAGTCAGAAGAGCAGCAGGACACAAAGACAGCAGTTACTACTAGACAGCTAACAGCCCCAAGCACACCCTTGCATTCTGCTCTTCTTCAGTTTAACCCAGCAGAATGCTGGTTTGCACTGTAAGTCAGTGGGCATTGTGTCAGTTTCTAGAATGTGGGCAAAAGCTCATGTTATTTACTTTTCATCTCTGGAATCCCTCTTGAATAGTTAGGTTTTTGGTAGCATGTCATCCTTCAGTCTGCAATGAAATAAACTCAAATCTGGATTTACTGGAGGAAAATTCCAAACAGACTAAGAAAGCAAAAACTACTGATACCATCTCCATAACCGTAAAGGTAAAACATACACATAGTACTAAGAGAATTGTTCTTCAACATCCCAGATTCAGTTCAGCAAAGGCAAAAGCCTTGTACTGGCATTCACAAGCAAGGTAAAAGACAGACTTTGTATTGGTGATTTCACAGGCAAGAGGGCATTTCTTTGGGGTCTCAAAACCTAACTAGCCCAGTGAAAGCCCAGCAGACCCAAAAGGGTATTCTTCTATGTTTATTCCCTGTCTTCCTTTGTTCAGAGAAAGTGACCATTTCCATGTCCCATAAGTAGCCTGATTTGTTGGAGCTGGGCCCACCAAAGCCCTGTCTCCTTGCAGGACATGTCTGGTCTATTGAGGTGGGTCAGAAAATCTGCTGTGTTTAATTTGTGTCTCTGAGAACAAATATAAGACAGAAAGATATAGAGAAGCTGAAACACTGACAATTCTTGACTCACTGAATTTGTCAACTTGGGAGTGCATCATCACCAAGTTTTTGCTGTGTTAGGTACAGGATATCCTTATTAAATCAAGTTGAGTTGGGATTCCCTATTTTTTTTTTTTTTTGGTGGTTGTGGGGCTTGAACTTTGGGCCTGGGCACTGTCCCTCAGCTCTTCAACTCAAGGTGAGCATTCTACCCCTTGAACCACAGCACCACTTCTTGTTTTCTGGTGGTTTATTAGAGATAAGAGTCTCATGGACTTTCCTGCCTGGGCTGGCTTTGAACCATGATCCTCAGATCTCAGCCTCCTGAGTAGCTAGGATTACAGGCATGAGCCACCGACGCCCAGCAGGATTTCGCTTTTATATACAAAAGAATAACAGAATTATATTTGGTGAGTTATTTGAGGGTCATCAGGATTTATTATTTAGCTTCTTATAAATTGGTTTACTTTTTACTATCATTCCTCAAAGACACTGAGTTATAGGAAATATAGAGAGATAAAAATCATATTCAATAGGCAAATTAGCTTTTCACCATTGTGACAAAATACCTGGAAGAATAAACTTAAAACAAGCAAAGAGTCATTCTAGGTCCACATTCCTGATGTTTCAGTCCAAGGTAGCTTGGCTTTGTTGATTTGGTCTTGTGGGAGCAGAGTTGATCATTGCAGAAATACATGGCAGAATAGGCCTTATTCACCTCATAGGAGCCAGGGAGCAAAGAAAAAAAAAAAAAAAGGAAAGGGTTGAAATCCCTATATCCTATTCAAGGACACATCTCCAATGGCTTTACTTCCTCCTATTAAGCCTCTCCTCCTAAAGTTATCACCATCTCCCAACAGAGCTACAGGCTGAGAACCAAGCCTTCAACACAGGAACTCTTGGGGGATATATCAGATTCAGATGATAGCAATGTCTCTTGTCATGCTTTAAAAACACATTTGTTTTCTTCTCCCTACTTTTGATCACAAGAAAAGTAGCTCTATCGTGTCAACTACTGCGATGTTGGAAGAACTGTAGCTTTGAAAACATTTTTCCCATGACTCATTTTATCAGAGTACTTATCTGAAGAGTACTTACTCATTTTTAAATCAAGTGGGTAGGCCTTTCCAAAAATCTGAGACTGGAACCCATTCGTAATAAGCACCCTTTTATAGATCAGTGAAACATAAGATTTCACAAGTTATGGAAAAGAACTTATGAGGGAATAGTTTCTTCCAGACCATGAGACAGTTTAGAAAATAGTTGCAATTGTTTTTCAATTTTTCACAGAAGATAGAAAGTGTATTAGGGGCTAAGTCAGGTAGATGGGCAGTTTCTATGGGAAGAATCTCCTTGAAGTTTTCCATTGGTGGCATGATCTGTGCTGGATTGTAAATATAGCTTCTCTGAGATGGGGATATGGGGTGGTCACTGTCAGGAGCCTTGACTAGTAATTGTGCCTTAATCCAAATATATATAAATATTATATACAAATGTATATATTTGTATATGTGTGCACATATGCATCCATATGTATGGGTTGGCTTTAAATCAGTATTTAAAATGAATTCCTCTGTATAGCAATGGGTAAAATATATCCTGAGTCAAAAACAATTATCATGGGTGGTCACATTCCAAAGAAATGAACACATATGGAAGGCACTAGCTAGTGAGTACAGAGACCATATTAGACAAAAAATGAAAGGCAAAGAATACACACTTTTTTAAAAATAGAAATCCATGGAGATGAGGAGGGAAGATGTCTGATGCTGTAGCTGAGCCTGAATGGAATTATGCCTACATAACATCTATTTGAGAGGCAAGCATATTTTGACCCCAGTCAATAATTTATGAAATTATAAACCTCACCCATATTAAAATTATGTCTTTCCATTTCTTATGTCATGGATACTACGGAATTTATAGCTATCATTTATTAAAAGCAAATAATAAAAAGGAAAACAATGTATTCACATTTACCACAAACAGTAAATGTCTTATATTCATTGCCTTATTTGATGTTTTATATTTTGAAAGGAAAAAAAGAAAACAATTAAGAAAAAGGTATATAGCTAGCTAGTCAAATAGATTGATCTATAGACAGATAAGTAACAGAGTATGATTTCTACTTTGTAGGGATATCTAATAAGAAAATTGGTGCTATTTGTATTTCTAAGACATCTTAAACTTCTTGACAAAAAAAAAACCTTTCCAGAGTAAAGCTATTATCATAAATAGTTTTCTGGATGCCCATTTGTTCTTTAAGTATCTTAGAAGTATTCTTTTGATATAAGATCTCTAAAACTGTCATATTAATATAACTTTTCTTCTGATTTGGTTATTTTTCTTTTAGACGAAATAGAGTTAGAAAGCTAGGATTTGTTTTTTTTCTTTTAGAATACAGATGGTTTTGTAAGCACTGATTTTTCATTTTAAAAAGAAGCATAGAATAAGTTGAGTAATTACCGTATTTTCTTTTGGGAGGCAGTGTAGTATACAAAGAAAAGGGAAAGGTGGGGACCAGGCAACCTGAGCTGGAGATGGGGCTTAATGACATGCTGGCCTTGTAATCTTTTGATTTGAGCTCTTTATGGGTGAAGTTGAATGGCAATACTTTTTCTAAGTGGCTGTTGAGAGGATTAAATCAGATAATGCACATTAAATCACTTTCTAAACTACATATTTATTATCATGATCACTATTATGCAATCATTGTAAATGTGGAAAGTGTCACGTATCATCCCATCCTGAATTGTATTGTTTGGTTTGGTGAATGTGATCGTGAAGCAAAGTTCAAACAGACATTTCTGGAATATTCTTTTTTTTTTATTTTTTGGGAACATACTGTACAGAGGGGTTACAATTACATGGGCAAGATAATGAGTAAATTTCTTATCAAGCATTGCAGCCTCCTCCTTTGTTTACCCTTCACATCCCTTCCCAGCCGCCCCCCACCCCCCCATCCTCTCCCCCCCACCAAAGTTGTAAAGTTTGTTTTCGACATGACAACTTGTACTTCTCATAGTTGCAACGGGTCCACCTGTATCCTTAAACGACTTGTTTTTCCCCATCCCCTCCACAAGTTATACTGACATCAAATATAGTGAAAGCAGGGGTTATACTGTGGGGGAGGGACATACAAAGCAACAAAGAAATAATCTTATAAATGAGTTAGAAACAAATGCATGAAAGAAAAAACATTTAAATACATATTTAAGGGTTCATTTTCCTAACATCACATTATCTGACCTTTTCTGCTTTACTCATACATATACTAGATATTGCAAATAAGGGAAACCATGGGACCTGGAATATTCTAAAAAAAATAATAGAGGAAGATGTTCACTTGTTAAGATGACAGAATACCCATAGTTGAACTGAGGTAGGCTCCAAGAGTTGTCTGAAGTTGGCTTTGAAACTGAGTAGATGGGTGAAATGGGTCAAATAAACTGTGTCCATCAAAAAATAGAGATATCATAACTTATGGAAATAAATAGTAATACAAAGAAAACATATGAGGAAGACCCAAGCAGAAGGTATTCTTAGGATAGCCTAAGGTACAAGGGCCACTTCACAAGGAAGAAGCCACACACTTACACAACTGCTGAAAAAGTTGAAGTATATAAGCGAATGTACAGGAATAGTTAACATTTCCCAGACTGGATATTA